GGGGCTGGCATAGAGGAACTGGTGAAGCTTTCGGAGCTGTGAGCTTGCCCAGGGACAGAATGCCAAGGGGCAGTGGTAGCCCAGAAGGGGCCTGGGACTCCTCCACCGTGTGCTGGGGCAGAGAAGAGAGGCCTGGCAGGAATGACACCTGGCTTGGGGCCGGGGCCGGGGGGACAGAGCTCGCAAGGCAAGGGAGCAGGGCACTTCTAGAAAGGAGGGGGGCCAGCAGAGCTGAGTGTGGCAGAGACGCCCCGCGAGAGGAAGGCTGAGTGCTTGTGAGATGTGTCCCGTGGAGGCCTTAGGAGGCTTCGGCCAGGACAGTGTGTGGCACAAGGAGAGGGCTGCAAGGGGGGTGACATGGGCGTGGACGACGCTTTCAGAGGAAGGGGAGAGGGAGGGGAGGCCCAGGGGAGAAGACTGAGCCAGCGGGGCACTTCAGAGCAAGCTGCCAGGGCCTACTGGCGGCCCGACTGCTCCAGGCTGAGCTGTGCGTCAGGCACCTTGAGCTGGGACCGGCTCGGCCACTTCCCGGGCCTCCTGGGCAGCGTGCTCCACTCCTCCACGCCTGGTTTCCATCTGTGGAGTGAGGCGACATCAATCCTCGCCCCCAGAACTGAGGGGTGTGAGACAGGATAACGCAGGGTGAAAGGCGAGCACCCTTCCGCCCCGGCACTCTCCTCCAGGGCTCGAGCTGTGGGTGGGGACCTGCCCTCCGTGCTGAACACTGCACGGGACAACCTAGCACACGGCAACCCTCCCAAGCGGCGGCAGCGCTCAGGCAGCCCGGCCTTGTCGTGTGCCGGGCACGGGGCCCGGTGTTCACCCTGCGTTATCCTGTCTCACACCCCTCAGTTCTGGGGGCGAGGATTGATGTCGCCTCACTCCACAGATGGAAACCAGGCGTGGAGGAGTGGAGCACGCTGCCCAGGAGGCCCGGGAAGTGGCCGAGCCGGTCCCAGCTCAAGGTGCCTGCCTCCAGCGTCCAGGGAAGAAACGAGGTTCGTGTGGGCCATGGACGGGCAGATCCCTGCGGGAGGCGAGGCCGCGGCGGGCTAGGGCCGAGGCCTGCCCAGAGGTGCAGGGGCAGAAAGCACTGTAGCTGGGGGGGTGCAGGCGGCCACTCAGGCAGGGCCAGGTAGGAACCAGCACTGAAGAAGCGTACTTACTTGTTTGGGTTTGGTTTTTGTTTTGGAGTCGTGCTCTCTCTCAGTCACCCGGGCTGGAGAGCAGTGGCACAGTCACAGGCACCATGACCTCAACCTCCTGGGCACAAGTGGTCCTTCCCTCTCGGCCTCTGGATTAGCTGGGACTACAGGGGTGCACCCCCACACCCGGCTAATTTTTATTTTTTAATTTTTTTGTAGTGAAGGAGTCTCACTATGTTGCCCAGGCTGGTCTCAAACTCCCGGGCTCAAGCAGTCCTCTTGTCTTAGCCTCCCAAAGTGCTGAGATTACAGGCGTGAGTTCCCTTGGATTTTTGTCGGTGTTTCTGTTACCCATCTTCTTGTTCCCCCATGTACTGCACTCATTTTCTATTTATTTATTTGCTCGGAGTCTCACTCTGTCGCCCACAGGCGATCCTTCCACCTCAACCTTCCAAGTAGCTGGAACTACAGGCATGCGCCACCACGCCCAGCCAATCATCTGATTTATTGTAGAGATGAAGTCTCGCCATGTTGCCCAGGCCGGTCCCAAACCCGCGGCTCAGGCAGTCCTCTCACCTCTGCCTCCCAAAGTGCTAGGATGATAGGCGTAAGCCATGGCTCCCAGCCTGCACTCATTTTCTTATGGCAAAGGAGCATGATTCTGGGCTTGTCCCCTCCACCTCTTCCTCCAAACTGGCTCTGAGTAAGTCACCCTTCTCCTCCCTACAAACGCTGGCTTTCCTCTTGCCGAGGAGACCACGCCCATCTTCAGTTTGACTGCAAAGCCCCCATGTTGTGGTCTGGGTCAGCTCTTCCGCCTGGCCTCCTTCCTCCTCCACTCTATGGGTGAGCACTTTTTCCAGACTGCAGGAAGGGATTCAACAGCCCCACCTCCTGAGAAGTACTGCTCCTCCGACTCTGCTCCCAGGGGCCGACACCTGTCTCCCAGGCTCACCAGAGTCTTGACCACACCCGCTGTGCCTTGTCTCCCAGACTAGAGGTGCTCACACAGGAGGGGCACCATAGGAGGGCATTTTGTATGTCAAACTGGGGAAGCCAACATTAGACTTGAGCCTCACTGCGCAGACAGATGGTGCACAGTTTCTGGAATTGGCATTGATCAGGAAAATGACTTAAAAGGAGAGGGATGTGTTTACTTAACAGAGAATAGCGTTGCCCTCCTGTCTGAGACTCCTGGGAAGTAGTACCTGGTAAGCCTGTGAAACTGAGCACATTAGAGCCTTCTGGAGTTAAATTTGGGATTGGGACGAGGTAGGAAAAACCTATGCTCATTGAATACAAAATGCAATTGTCTGTCAGTGCAGGAAGTGAAGTATCTGCTGCAAATTATATTTAAGACTCTATTGTCACAGGCAGATTAGCTAATGCTTGATTTTAAGTATAGGCTTCTAATGCTATTACTCCTGGTTAACTCTGCCTGGCAGGTAACCTTGTGGAACAAATGACTGCATTGCTTGAATAACATATTTGATCAAACAGGACAATTCTTTCAAAAATTGAGTTCTCTGTGGCAATTTGAGACCTGTAATCAGTAAATTAGATGATTACAGCAGGGATAAAAATAGTCTTCTAACAATGTCCAAGGTATAAATGTGATTTGAATTTCAAAATGCTGAGCATGTGGTAGGAAAATGCACGGTTGGGTAAATATGACTAGACATTATCAGATTTGATTTCTCTTTCCATTTCTGCTCTGAGCTAGAGCCTAATTTTGCCCAAATAAACTCCAATCTCATTTGTGTCTGAGTCAGAGGATGAGGGTGTGTCACGCACTGTGCTCCGAGTCTTCACGGGGCCCACAGCTTCACGTCTCTGCCAGTGTGAACCTCAGCATCGTCTATTTGCCCCTGTGGTACGAGATGGCCTCCACCCAACGGCTGTCCAAGTTCCACACAGGGAAGAGGGCACTGGAAAACCTTCAACACCCACTGCCTGCACACTGAGGCCCAGTGTGCAGAAAGAACCCCGGTGGGGTCTAGCGAGTGAACTCTGAGAGCGGCGGCAGGATGTGAGGCCGTGGTATGCTCCACCCCAACCAGTCAGTCTCCGCGGTCAGTCAACAGGTCACTCTGTTCCTCCACCTCCAACACAAGTCAGTGTGACCAAGAAGCCCACCTCATCTCCTTTCTCTGGTCCTTCCTGTCGACCCGTCTGTCCACCCATTGGCAGGGCTGCCGTTCCGCCCCTCCTACCTGTTGTGCCATCACCTGGCCTCAGCTGGTTTTAGCTGAGCGGCAGAACAAGTGACTCGCGCGTGCATGTTCAGAACCAGGCAGGGGAGCCCAGTGAGCCACAAACTGACCTCTAGAGATGGAAGAAGCTCCTCTAGCGTAGGGAATTTGACTTCTACTTATCTGCTCTTCGAGCTCCTTGACAGGGCGTTGGAATTATTAATACGGATTGATTTATCCCTGGGACTTATCCTTTATTAGCACAGATGATTAAGAGCTGCCTATGGAAACTCAGCCATTTAAAAAATCTTGAATTCCAGAAATGCAGCATTCCAACAATTTATGCGTAATTCTTACTTCAGCATTCAGTTAACACCCTCTGTAAGACAGTGGCTTGCTAAACGATCTATGAATTAGTATTTACCTCAAATGTGCTTTCAAATCAGTGTTACCTCATATTTGCCAAACTCTCAAATTTATAACAAAACTTTGGACAATCTTTTCAGTACTATATTCTTGTATAGGAGATGCCAAGTGCAAATTAACCACATTTAGGATTTTACCAATACCCTTACAAATGATTGCCATTAAAAATTCACTGCTTTTTAAGGCTGGAACATCTCTGCCTAAGATGAAGAAATAACTAGCTAGGAGTTTTATCACTTGACTAAATACCACTACATGTAGATTTATAATGCATTTATTAGGAAAAGTGTAGTATTAAAAACTTGCCAGAACGACAACATCAACAAGCAGGGTCTCTCCAGCTTCATATAGACATGGCACAGATTGAAAGTAGCTGTTTTTCGATTTTAGATCGATTTTTGCAAAATGAGATGAAATAGGAAGTCGAAAGCCAGTGGTATTCATCTGTTCATTCACCTTCCCTCGCACGTGCCCACACAGAAACACTGTCAGAAAGCGAGACACAAGGCTCAACCAGACCACGCCACGAGGATGTTCAACAAAATGTGATTTGAGCTGCACACATTAGGCCTTCAAGTGAAGAGTGACCATCAGCAAGGCACTTGGGGACTCCATCAATGAGCAGGAACAGACTGAATACTGACATCATGCCCTTGAGCTCCATATAATTCTGCTTTGCATTTTTTTCTTAAAAGGATGGTTTTGGGCCACTATGTGAACAAGTTCTCCAAACAAAAATTCATTTACTCTTTAGGTCAAGACTCGGGCAAGGGTGAAGAGCATTACATAACACTAGGTACATACTCTTCATGAAGTGCAGCTGCGGTCCTTTTAGATGTGGAAACGGCATCCCCGCAACCGATGGCATGGGCCACTTGGCATTGTGGGAGAGGTGCCAAGTCGGATCCTCACTCCCAGCTCAGGGGCCGCAGGAGGCAGACAGGACTGCACCTGAAACTCACCTCGGAAGTCTTTTAAGTGTGTTTGCCTGGAAGACTTGCGCTTCAAGAAGCACGAAAGAGAACTTGATGCAGCCACAGTGTTGAATTCTCTCTCAAGGTACTAGACACCGCTCATAAAGCCAGCTGTCTCAAAGACAGTATTATCTTTATTTAAAAACGGATAGACATAGCAGCACTTATAAGAGTTCATAAAAGGCATTGTACATTGTCAACTGATAGTGTGAAAAGGCCCCCGGCCCAGCTGGCTGTGGGCTCCGCATGACACTTGCTCACAACCACCTGTTCCACTTAATAAGACACAACCCAGAACACCCAAGGGGAGACCGACAGCATCGGTGGCACTCCTCAACTTCAAGCTTTTGTTGTGTGTGTGAACAGTCAATCAAGTCAAGTATCACCCTCCTTAGCAGCATCTGGAGCACTCACTGGTGTTCTGGAGGTGGCTGGTGTACTTGACCCACTTATTTTAAAAATCTGAGCCTTCATTAAAGACTTCTCCCTGTCCAATGCCATCCACAGAAATGCTTCTGTTGCAGAAGAGATGCACTCTCCCACTTAAATATCCGTAAAAGCTAACGCATGCCTCGGCCGCCGCAGGCAGGAGCGAGCTCTGAGCAGGCACTTCCGCACGACTGTCTTTGGTGGAGAACGCGAGTGTGGTCACACTGTTCCCTGTCCACTGCTCTGCTTCTTACTGCTCTGTGGTGGGGTGAGGATCCCGGTGGGGAGAGGAGAAATCCGATTCTGTTCAGACAATATGGCTTTCTTTGCTTGGGCTTTGTCCTGTTGACGAGAACACAGGGAGAAACGTTAAAGTGAAAGAACATATCCCTGGAACTTCACTTACTATGTACTTTTTTATTTTTTATTTTTTTACGAAAGTGAGGGAAAAAATAGCGAAGAATAAAAGAGTCTCTGGTCTACACTGAGACACAGAAGCGGTTGGCCAGAATTTTCTTTTTCAAGGAATTAAAAGAAGTGGATTTCTTCTGGCTACCTGGAGCCTGCCTGAAGGAATGGGAGTGGACATCTGAGGACTCCTAAGAATGGAAGTGGGGAGCAGACTGACCAGCAGGTCCAAGCTGTTTCTGTGCGTCTGAATGTTGTGTGCGTCATCGGCGGGAACCCCCCTGAAGTGCTTCAGCTTGGAGCTCCCCATCTCCCTGACAACCAGGGCAAACGGCACCATCCACTTGACACAGCTCTCTATGTCGCACCACTGATACCCTGCAACGAAGACATTGGAGGCACAATGTGAGGCTGACACCGGGCCTGTGAGTTTCCTGCACCTGCCTGTGAACTCACCGGGAAGCCAACATACCTGACACCTTTTGCATCAGTTCAGATGAAGAGAAATGATACAAGGCAGAAGCAGCAAGCACACCGTAAGAGAATTCTAGGCAGTCAACATCCAGGACACAGAGGTCCAAAAGCTATGGAGAAGAAAAGAACATCGAAGCACATGCCAACACCGGCACTCGCAGACTTCCTCACTCCAGCTGCAGGAAAGGTGGCCCCACGCAGGTCGCGAAGCCACTTACCTCTGCAATCTGTATAAAGATCTGCTGGGGATACTGTGGCAGGAGCACTTCATATAAGTCATTTAGATACGCAACCTGCATGTATACATTCAGCCAGGACACAATGGTCAGGGGGCTTAAGCGCCACTTAAGGGCCTAAAGGAAAACAGAGAGAAAAGAGACCAATGATTGCGAGAAGAAGTTCAAACGCAGCCATGTTGCGTGCCAGTGTGTCCAGGTGGGGAGCACTTCCCAGACGCACTCACACTTCGTGTCAAGATATTATGTATGCATTTTTAAAATGATTGAAAATTAACTTGTATTCTACCTTCATAATCATTAATTCCATGGTAAGAATTTCATCTCCTGAGCAAGCCCCATCTGTAACATAAGCAAACTGGTGCAACTTCGGAGGATAGATTTCCTAAAAGGAAATACAAGGAAGATACTACTAGCACAAAGCCAGTCTCTAATATTTTGATTTATAATTTACATCCCAAGTTATTCTTTTTAGCAACCTGGCATGGAAAGAAAGAGGGCACATAATAGGGTTTATACAGTAGCGCTCCAGTGGCCCAAAAGGTGTTAGTTGCAAAAGAAACTCCCACCCCATGAAATAAATAAAAATAGTCTTCACCCAATCTCAGTGGATCTCAAGAAAACACCGCATATTATATAACAAAATTTTTAAAATTATTTACCTCAAATTTGGCTGCAATAAATAAAGATGAAATCCCGATAAGCTGTAAAAGCGTTTTTACAACATTGTCTTGTGTTGCCATATACCGATCAAAGAAATCCTGTGCCAAGTAAAATGTCTCCCTGTGAAGTTTATAGACTTCACACACCTGAAAAAATATTTAGTAAGTTTTAGAAAAAAAAGCTTGTAATGAGTTTTGGTGAAGGATAATACTAAACGAAAAGTTCCAGAAAAAAATTTTGCAAGTTTTATTCTTTTCCTTTTTTGTGAGACAGGGTCTGGAGTGCAGTGATGTGACCATAGCTCACTGCCATCTTGAACACCTTGGCTCAAGTGATCTTCCCACCTCAGCCTCCCAAAATGCTGGTAGTACAGGTATGTGCCACCACGTCCAGCCTAATTTGTCAGTTTTAAACTGCTTGCTGTTTGAGCCTGTCCCACTCCCATGTGCCTGGGGCATGAATCGTCCCTTTGTCCAGTGCCTCCTTGCTGTATGAGCTGCCCGTCCATTGGCCATTACTAAGGACACGAAGTACTAGGTTATCAGAGGGACTGTCACAGCGACAGTGTTTGTGCTCAAATAGTCCTTATTTTATTTTATTTTTATTTTTTTTCTGAGTTGGAGTCTCACTCTGTCACCCAGACTGGAGGGCAGTGGCCGCTCCCGGCTACCGCAGCCTCAACCTGCTGGGCTCCGGCGATCCTTCCTCCTCAGCCTTCCGAGTAGCCGGAACTACAGGCGCACGCTACCACGCCCGGCTGATTTTTTGATTTATTGCAGAGATGAGGTCTCGCTGCCCAGGCGGGTCTCGAACCTGCGGGCTCAGGCCATCCACTCGCCTCAGCCTCCCAAAGGCGCGGGATGACAGGCTGAGCCGCCGAGCCCGGCTTAATAGTCCTTATTTTAACGAATAATGAATAATGGCCCCAAAGGGCAAGAGTAGTGGTGCTGGTAATTTGCCAAAGAGAAGCCATAAAGTCCTGTAAGTGGAAACCTGAAGAGTTAGGAAAAAACATAGTATATACAGCGCTCAGCACTCTCTGTGGTTGCAGGCATCCCTGGGGATCTCAGAACATATCCCCAAAATAAGGGGGAAGTAGTCAGACAGCCTCTATATATACTTTTTTATCACTTTTTATGCTTAACAACTACCCAAAATTTTAATACTTGCTCTTCCCATCAGTTGTTTCAGCGAAGTATATGACAGTGTGGATCAACAAAAGATGTGAACAATATATTTTGTTAGGATAACATTCTGTGAGGAAAGGGAACTATCGTCCAAGAAGTTACAAAGAACAACGTGGCCAGGCAGTGGTTAAAACCCGTCATTCCAGCGCTTTGGGGGCTGATATAGGAGGCCATGAGTTTAAGACCAGCCTGGGCAACATAGCAAGATCTCATCTCTGTGGAAAAAAAGCTAGGTGTGGTGGCATGTGCCTGCAGTCACAGCTACTCGGGAAGCAGGAGGATCACCTGAGCCCAGAAGGCTGGGGCTGCAGTGAGTTGTGACTGTGCCACTGCACTCCAGCCTGGGTGACAGTGTGAGACCCTGACGCAAAACAACAACAACAACAAGATAAGATCTGACTGCTAAAGATAAACTGAAGCATATGTTTTTACAATTTATGATGACTTTCAAATAGATGATATCTGCATCCCAGTGGACACATTTAAAAAGCAATTTCACGAACAAAGCTCACATATCAATAGTTATAATTTACTGGAACCGTAGCAATTTAAACTTTGATGAAAAAAAAGTAGGTGCCAACTTTAAACATATAAAGGGTAAAAAGATTCTAGAAATTCTTTTAATACCAACAAGAATCAGAAAGAACACAGCATACAGCTTTAGATACAGAGTGTGTCGATGGAATAAAACACGCCAAGAGATCGTAGTAGCACAGAAAAGTCTAGAAGTGGTCAAAACTTTCATTGACCTGAAAGACTCAAGCTCACCTCCATTAACCAATCCAAAAGAATTGCTCGCATTTTAGGCTGCAGAAGAGGGTGTCGCTGCATAAAGTGCTGATCCCTCAAGTATGTCTTTTCCTTGTTTAACATGATTTTCCAAACCTCTTCACTACTGGCCCAGCTACAAGAGAAAACAAAACGAAACCGGTACGGTGTCGGCAAGTGTTCATATTAAGAGAGGGCTGAGGGCGAACACAGAGCAAGAGCCGACAGCCACGCCGCAAGGTCACTTACTTCAGCACAGGCAGCGGGGAGCCTCGGGATGGCGCGAAACTCGGAGGCTGATGCGTAGAATTGGGGTACGCCAGCTCATCCTCTTCCTTGTCCGGTGTTGGGATCAAGGAGCAGGGGTTTGCACAGACTGAGTTACTGTCCCATGGCTGTCAATAAGAAACATGTAAAGGCATCTGCTATAAACTAGCTATTTTTGTACTCACTGATCTGCAGATCGGCCAGCACGTCAGACAGTATCTCCTCACTGGAACATCATCTCCAGGCCTAAATATTCTGGCCGGAGTTTAGATGAGGCTGCCTGGGTGAATGAAAGCCAGACACAACACTCCAAACTTTCACCTCGTGTTTGTCAAGAGTCTATGCAGTAAACAGCTAAGAAAACTCGCAAGTGGCTGCATTAATCTCCACGTCCTCGCCCTCACAAGGTACCTGGGCAGCAAAACAGACACAGGAGAGGTGAGAGGAAACACAAACAGCTCTTTGTTTTTATGTTTTGCTTTTTGAGTCAGTCTCGCTCTGTCACCCAGGCTAGAGCACAGTGGCATGCTCAGGGCCACAGCAGCCTCGACCTGCTGGGCTCAGGCGATCCTTCTGCCTCAGCCTTCTGAGTAGCTGGAACTACAGGCACAAGTCACCACACTCGGCTAATTTTTTTGATTGACTGCAGAGACGAGGTCTTGTCATGCTGCCCAGGCTGGTCTGGAACCCCAGGACTCAAGCAATCCTCTTGTCTTGGCCTCCCAGAGTGCTGGGATTACAGGCGTGAGCCACCATGCCCAGCTAAACAACTTTCACATTACCAAAAAAGGACAATCCACATGCAGCTCAGTAAGATACTGGGCATGACTTTTGCAGTGCTTAAAAAAAGATACATTGTGAGATTATTTGGTCATAATTCAAAGATTTGTTTTTTAACAAGCACAACTCATCTACTAAAATTTTCCTTTTCAAAATAGAGACGGGGTCTCTGAGCCGCTCATGCTGGTCTTGAAATCCTGGCCTCAAGGAATCCTGCCACCCTGGCCTCCCAAAGTGCTAGGATTACAGGCATGAGCCACTGTACTTGGCCCTAAAATGTCTTAAAAGCAGAACAGAATTTCTAATATTTGCATAAGCATTTTGCATACATAAGTATAAAATATAAAAAATGTAAAGTTGCCATCGTTATTAATAAAGTCCTTCAGTTTAAACAAAATCCATCAAATCTGACTTCTTCCACTGGTTGCAGGACTCACGAAATGTTAAATAATGGGGACCTTGTGTTTTTTTTTCCAAACAAAATAAAAAGAATATCCATCTAGTTGAAACCAAGTCAAGTGATGGCCACCTTGCATACAGTGCATGATGGCTACCAGAGCACACTGACCACCTTCAGAGCAAGGCTAGTTAAAGCTCCTCTCCTCCCAAAGTACAAAGAATTGGCCATGCAAATTAGCCATGACAGCTTCTGCCAACAGCTGTGCAAGGAAGGAAACTTCCTTTCAGTTCCAGTATCATGTGCTGGTAGCATTTTCTTGACTCAAAATGGGTTACATTACAATTGTTCTAAGTTGCTCTTCATTGAGGAAGGATAAATGCCAGCCATGAAGGCGTAAGCTGGGTGCCACCCTTTATGGCCAGATGGCCTGCACATCTGAGAGCGGGCCTTTATAGATAAACTAACTGGTATCGCTTCCCAACCTGCAGTTCACAGACAAGTTAGGTTAACTACAAGCAGACACATGGTTTCTAAGGCTGGCCTTTTCAGTATCCAGTACATGAGGCAGAATAATTAAGTCAATGTCCTTTAACTTGAGTGTACACCAAGTTTCAGAGGATGAAGATCAGTGTGACTTTATTTAGGAAGGAAGGAAGGAGATAACAGCAAGAGACCAATGGCAACGATTCTTAACGAATGTAGACGCCTTATGCCATTTTTTTCATTGTGCAAGATTTTTTCTGAAAAGTAATAGTCCCGGATTCCACTTCAATAGAAAAGTTGAGTCTCATTCCCCCAAAATTAAAAAAAATGGACATGTTAAATAGATTTTAGATAAAAGGATAGTCTTTTCATTAATAATTGCCTAAGCTAAGACTCATCAAAGGTTCCATGTAGAATTTTTTTTTTTTGAGTTGGAGTCTCACTTTGTTGCCCAGACTGGAGGGCAGTGGCCGCTCCCGGCCACCACAGCCTCGACCTGCTGGGCTCCGGCGATCCTTCCGCCTTTGCCTTCCAAGTAGCTGGAACTACAGGCACGCGCTACCACGCCCGGCTAATTTTTTGATTTATTGTAGAGATGAGGGTCTCGCCTGCCCAGGCGGGTCTCGAACCCAAGGGCTCAGGCAATCCACTCACCTCAGCCTCCCAAAGGCAAGGGATTACAGGCCGAGCCACCGAGCCGGCTCATGTAGTCTTGATGAAGCACTTACATGGAAGCACTTACATGGAGCACGATGGCTCCAAGTAGCTTAAGGCTGTTGTACTGGGCTTAACTATAACGCCAGAGGCCAGGTGTGGTGGCTCACGCCTGTAATCCCAGAACTTGGAGAGGCTGAGGTGGCAAGATTGCTTGAGGGCAGAAGTTCAGAAAAAAATTCAGCATATTAACAGTCAAAACCATCCTGTTGTACCCCAAGTTCTAGGCTCACATATCTCCAGAGAAATAAAGACATTACTCCATAAATAAATGGGTCGTTTTTAAGCTATCTACTCTACAAAATATATAGAAACCCGCTGTCATTAATCTCTGGACAACCACAAAATGCCTTCTAGTGGGAAACGACCTGGCTGTTCATGAGTCACGCTATCTCCGTAGCCCAAGGACAGAGCCACAGTTGTCTCAGGTACCCTCGCACTGCTCGGTGTCTTCAGAAAAGGAATGACTCCAGGAGGGCAGTATGGATAGCTCTGCTTCCTCTTCAGCTAGAAGTTGCTTTTCTATTCAAAACACGGCTGGGAAAGTAAACAATCTTAAGTTTCACAAAGTGGGGATTCATTTGATAATGTCCACAAAATCAGCGCGCTTGAATTGAAGGCTATTTTTTCAAGGAGAGAAAAAGAACTTGGGAAGCGCCACCTTATTTCCTTGCCTGAAGTGAATTATTTCTTCTACCCAAGAGGAACTCGGCACCCCTTGTCCAATGCTCAGGGCCCCCCAGAAACCCGCATCACAAGCACCTCACAGGCGATGACACCTGCAGCCGCACAACGTGGCCCACAGCCTTGCAGCCCTTCACCTCTCCAGATCGGCTACCACGGCGGCTGCTCACTGCTCTGGAGAGCGAAGGGCTGGCCACTGCTAGCGTAGTCAGGCCCACTGCACCCAGGTCGAGTGTTGTTGCTGCCCAGCTTTCCTCTGGGACCGAGTCAGAGGCCTGACCAGCTAGTCTGGAGATAGGCAGCTTCCCTTCCTTCAGCCCTAACTACAGTTTCCAGCCATTTCTGGAAATAAAGCGATGATACACGCTTTCTGTGCAAGAAACTTCTGATAGGATAAAGATTATCACACCGCACGCAGGAAATTTGGCAGAAACTCTGTAAGAAGGGGCAAGACAAACGCAATCAATTAAAAAATGTGTTAAGGCACTATCGTTACACCAAATGTTCCACTAACACTCTTGCCGAGGCCAGGCCACGCCCCGGGCAGCAGTGGTCAATGGAGATTACTGCTGGAGAGGCTCGAAGAACTTCCAGGGCAAGAAAGAGGGGAAAAGCTTGAAACCTGACCTAAAGACAACAGGAGGAGATCCTTGAAGAAGAATAGGTGTGTGTGTGTTGGGAAGGAGCCTACCACCAGTTCACCAGCTTTGGGTCAAGACTGTGGTCCCAGCTCTACCCCTGGTTTGTGCAGCACTCGAGCTTACTTTCTTCCTCAAGCCTCAGTTTCCTCACGGGCAGAAAGAGAGGGCTCTGATGTTCACGCTAGTTCTTCCAGGCATCAGCACGCATCTGTAACCTCAGACGGTGCGGTTCGGGAACACAAGGCCTTCCTGGAATCCCCAGGCTGGCACAGACCGGTGCCCACTGACAGGCACAGTGCTCAGCCATATGGACTGTGGCTGTAGTCAGAGAAACGAGCTCTCACCAGTGTCTGCAGCAGGAGGCCAGTGAGCAGGAACCCAATCGGACCCCGAGAGCAGGACTTCCACTCAGGCCCAACCAGCAAGGGACCCACCTGACCGCCGCACTGTCCCCTCGCAGTTCTGTCAATTTTGGCAACTTCTTCATCTGGATCTTGCAGAAACTGACATAAAACAACACCCACAGCCCAAGGAAACGCAGCGAACAGTCCCAAGACAAAACAGAGGGAAGAGAAAGTTGATCAGAGCCCGAGCGCCGTTTCCGGCAGGAACCCCCCACGCGCCACCGGCACGCCGGGGCCGGAGCCACGGCTGGCACCCAGGCGGGCGCGGGTCGTGCCCAACCCGCCGCCTTTGTACTCACG